CGGCGGTGGTGAAAGCGCTGCCCTATTACCAAAGGATGGTTGTGAAAGCCACCAGGAGCTCCACAGGAAGAAAGGTGGCAATTTGCTTCCCTAGAGGTGACAGGCTCAGCAACCCTATGACACAGGCCGACTCCTCTCTACTGTAGTGTCACCCTGAGTCAGAATATCTGTGCGCTTTAGTTCAGTGTGCGTCGCAAATAAATGGAAGTCGTTTACAAAACGTTACTACTTGCCTTCGAATTTTATGGGGGAATCTTAGTTAACTTAGTTGTGAAAGAGGCACTCGGGTGTCTATTGCTAAGCTATATTGTAGGAATGGAGAGTCTTGGAGGGGTAGTGGTCAGCACGAAGCTGCTAACCACTCGGGGAGGAAGATGTATGGCCTTGGAAACCCAAGGGGGCAGTTTTACCCCGTCATCAAAGGCCCTCTGAGTCAGAGTAGCCTCCAGGGTTTGGTATTCGAGGAGCAGAGGATACAGATACTGGGAAAAGCTGGCAATCCACGATGCTCCTATTGTAATAGAGTAATAGACCTAAAGATAAGGTAGAACACAACGTAATAGATTAGAGATAAACAAACCTCTACACAAGTCTGAAGAAAGCATGAGTGAGCATTGCCACAAAATGTCGAATGTCCAATGACTTTATATTCTGCTTACTCATGAAGGGTGAACACCCAAGTAGTAGGGACAAACTTTTGTTGCTTAACAGTTTGGAGCTGTGGCTTGTTTTTATTTCGCACGTGATTTTTATAGGAGAGGCACATGTAGCATAACATAACATAAATCCCCTGACAACTTCAAAGTGTTGTCGACTTTTTTTCCCTGGATATCCATAAGTATAAAATGTAACTTCTTTATGATTAACTTAATTGTCTTAAAGTTACTGTCTACTTACATTGTTTAAACTTTTGTATTTAGGGTAATTCTTACTACAAACCCCATCCACCATTATTTTACTTATATATATTTAACTTTTCAAATATTGAGGAGTTTTTTTCTTAAACATGGAGGGAATCTGAATTTTCATATTTTTAAAATCATTTTATTGGGGGCTCATACAACTCTTATCACAACCCATACATACATCAATTGTGTAAAGCACATTTGTACATTTGTTACCTTCATCATTCTCAAAACATTTGCTCTTCACTTAAGCGCCTGGCATCAGCTCATTTTCTCCCTCCCTCTCTACTCCCCCCTCCCTCATGAACCCTTGATAATTTATAATTTATTATTTTGTCATATCTTACACTGTCCAATGTCTCCCTTCACCCACTTTTCTGTTGTCCGTCCCCCAGGGAGGAGGTTATATGTATCCCTATAATTGGTTCCCCCTTTCCAGCTCAATTTCTTCTCACTGCTCCTGGGAGAAAACGGGAATAATTGTTGATCTACTTCTTAAGGTTTCTAAATAGCTGAAATGGCATCATTCTGAAAATTCTATACTATAAAATTATGTCAAATTGTTACCTCTGTGTAAATGGATTACTCGTGGTGTGTCATGGAAGAGTTTTATTGCAGCACACAAAAGTTTTGCGAAAACAGAAGACACAGTAATGGGAGAAATCCAACAAAGTGTCCCAACGAGTTACAGCATGATAGAGGCAAAAATCACAAATAAGGGGCCCAGCTGCAGTATTCTCGATGGCTTTGCATCTATAAAAATGTAGGTGCCAGGGTCTGTTGGCACCTTTGTTAGAGCTGACCGGGTTTGCAAGGCACCAGGTAACAACAAGATCTAGCTGGTCATAAGTTTACTAAAATAGCCACTAAAATACAGACACAAGGCATTCCACAAGGGGTCATGTCAGAAAGACATTTTCTATTAAAAAAAAACACATTTCTATGAGTCAGTATCGACTTGGTTGCAGGGAGTTTGGGTGGAGTGGGAATTTCGGCATTTTCTGAGACATGGCTTAGCCACTAAGGGCACATATTTTAACATGTCAAACACCTGCAGAAATCAAATAATCTAACATTAGCCATTTCTTCTAATGAGAAGCTCATCTGCAAGTGGAGTTGGGTGGGAAAAACCCACATTTTTCTGTAGAACTACTTACATCTAGGTCAAAGCTGCAGTGGAACTTTTCATTTACAGTCGTGGCAGATCTCCATGAGTTCTCTTAAAAACAAAATGGAGTGAGTCTGGTGAAATTTAGTTAAAAGCCCTATTTCTGTTAAATGCTTTAAAATTTTAAGATTCCTTATCATTGAAATTTAGTATTTTTGATACACGTGTTGAGTATAAATTACGTGAATGGGATTTTAGAATAATAGTAAGACCCTTAAGGGGTCACAAGGGAAGCCTTCATTCTGAGTTCGGTATAAGAAGAGAGGTCAGTGGGGGTGGGGGTGGGGAATGAGTATAGTAGGTTAAATAGCAAGTGAATATCACTTTTTAAAAGTACAAGTAAAATTATTGTATGTAATTTTTCTACTGTTTTTCAACTACCTTGCTTCTCCATCCATCAACCCCCTTTCCTTCTTTTAAAGTAGGCTTCAGGGAAGAATGGAATGATGGAAGAAAAGAAAAAGACTGGTAAAATTATTGCAAAAAGAACCCAAAGCTTTGTTATACATTACTAGTGAAAAGCATAAGATTCTCACAAATCTTCCCAGAAAAGAATTTGTCACCAGATTATGAAGATTCTTGAAATGCTCAAATACTAAAGAAATAATAAAAAATATATAGGTTTCTGTACATTGATACTGAACATGGTATTACTTAGAATGGTTTTTAAATATAAATGAGGTAAAAGTCTAACATTTAAAAAGAGTAAAAACTAAGTAAATCATAGTACTGCTGGAGAATGTAATTCTGTTGTCTTCAGGTGCCATCCATCAACTCTGATGGAGACCTATCTACAAGCAGTGGGAGAAAGGTGAAGCTCTCTAATCCCGTAAAGACTCACAGGCTTGGAAATCACAGGGGCAGTTTTACTGTCCTAGATGGTCTCTGGGAATCAGAATTAATTAATTGGCTGTGAGTTTTTTATTTGGGTATCTGTCCAAGCAGAAAGAAATGTCCAGCCCTGCACCAGTCTCACGAACATTAAAAATGATGTTTACTAAGGTTTTTGTGAAAAGTTTTGGTTACTAAGGTTAGAATTGAAAATAAATAATATACAAACAACAAACATATATAGATATATACATATATATCTATATATATTCAGGGTGATCTATATAAAAATGCCTGAGAAAAAACTGGAGTGATATAACATCCTAGGCGGCTAACCAAAAATTTGAGGTTCAGCTCCACCCAGAAACAGTTTAGAAAAAAGGGCTACTTTCAAAAAATCAGCCCTCGAAAGCCCGAAGGAGCAGCCACTGACAAACATGAGGCTGCTTTGGGTCCAAATAGAATAGACAGCAGCTGCGTTTACTAGTAGACTAGGTACTATAGTTCTCAGTCTTACATTAACTAGACTTCCTATACTTGCCTTCTATTATTTTTCCAGAAAACTACAAGAGTGATTGGGTACCAAACCTGCTATCCATTGTAGCAGACAATGAGACAAGTCAGACTCATGGGCCAGACTAAAACTGCAATTTATGGTTTCCCAAGTTGTCAAGCTTGATGAGAGTAAACCAAACTCAAACCAAACTCCTCACAATTAAGTCGATACTGACTCATAGCGACCTTACAAGACAGAATAAGATAGAGTAATTCTTTACACTAGTAGAAAGCCTTTGCTTTCTCCTGCGGAGCATCTGGTGATTACAAACTGCTGACCTTCTAGTTATCCAACCAATGCATAAGCACACACCTTATCTTTTTCCCTTCATGGCGGAAACACCAACCTTGAGATTAAAGTTTAACCTACTGTACCACCCTAGGGCTCCTTCTTGATTGTGTAGAAGGTAATAATGCAATGAATAAAAAGAGAAATCATTAAAAAAAGGGAGAGAAATCAGAAAGTGGGGGAGGGGAGAATATTCCGAACTGAAAGTACAAACGATAAGATTGAATATGTGTTCAGTCTGCTTCTACAGCACTATTGCCTTTTCTCCCCCACTAAATTGTATCTTGAGAAACCATTACAACCAATTTGTTTAGTAATTATTTTTGCAAAAGTTTTGAAGGATGAACGCAGTCTATTTGATTTTTGCGATTAATTAAAAAAAAAAAGCCGAACACGTTGTCTCCCAAATTAGCTAAAACTAATTCGACAAAATCTTTCGCTCATTTGCAACTAGTTGAGCAACTCATAATTCTTTTGTTTGTAGGAGCCGTCTAGTCAGCCACGACTCTTGGCAGCTTTAGATTTCCTTCATGCCAGAGTGAACTTTGTTGAGCTTTTTCAGGCAGAGAGAAAAGGCACAGGCTGATGGAGAGGGAGTGGGGAAAGAGCTGAGAGGTAGAGGGGGAGTTGGAGGTAAAAAGATGGCTCTGGTTTTGTGTGAAGATGGCAGCCGCCTGTACTTCCCCAGAAGCTAGCTCAGAACCGAGGAGAGCTCTGAAACTCCCCCAGGACCTGGGAGGGCGGGGGGGAGTTGGGGGGAAGAGGCGTGGTTAGATGTCAGTAAACATTGAACCATGCCGGGAAGGGAGGAAATGGACCAGCTGATTGAGCGGGCAATTCTAGTGCTCTTGACCTTCTCAGCAACTTTTCCCTGAGGACAAATGTTATTCCAAATAGAAAACGATCTTTTTTAGAATTGAGACCGCATTTCTCAATCTTTCCTCTAATGACAGCCCCGCCTCAACTCCATTTCAAACTACAAGCTAGAAGCAGGGACGACCTCTAAAACTACCAGCATCACAACTGTGAGCGTCAGAAACTACAAGTTCCAAAATGCCTCGGGCCAAACCTTACCGGAGAAACTACCAGGCCTAGAACGCACTGTTTTCTCGCTCCAGGGCGACTCTCCAATAAGGAGGCGATTTCTTTAGAAATCGGGGCGGGATCGCTGGTGCATGCCGGGATTCAGAAGACTCAGAACCGGATTGGCTGAGACCAGCCAATAAATACTGGTCCCCGGCACGGGCTGGAGGAGACGTGGAGGAAGGTAGAGGACGCTGGGTACTTCCGCCAGACCAAAGCCGGCTACCAGCTCAGTGGGTTCCGCCTCACCAGGTACCCATCTCCCGCGCGTTGGCATAAGTGGCCCTGACCTGACGGAAGTGATTCCTCTCACTGCCCCGGAACCCACGGCGGCAGGCAGCTGGGGTGGGGGGGCGGCCCTGGAGTAGGGGCTGTGGCGGTGCGCGGGGGCCCAGTTGCGGCGACTGAGGAAACTACGGGGCTGACGAGTGAGTCTCGGCCTGGGTTTGGGGACGGTGCCCCGGGACTGCGCGGAGGAGAAGGGAGGCTTGTAGGGGGCGCGCTCGCCACCCCACTTCGCAGTTCTTCCCATTTGGGCGGGGAAGAAACGGAAGCTCCTAGCCTCCCCGGGCCTCCCCAGCTCCTACTTGGGGGGAGGGGAGGAGGCGGCGGCGGGACCTTGCCAGGGGCCGTTGGGTGGGCTTGGAGAGGGATGAAAGGAACTGTGGCCGGCGGGACTGGGCCTTATTTGGGTCGAACGCGGGGAGGGTGGGGTTAGGAGCATGGCAGCCCGTCGCTTTTCCATTTTGCTTTCCCGTGTGCGCCCAGGTTCGTTCTTTTCTTGGAATCACTCCCTGGTCCCAGGAGAGAGCCCTCGCTCCTTCCAGCTGCTAGGGCCCGAGAAGTTTATCTTTCGGGAGGGCAACTTGTTGGGTGATTTCTACCCGACATAATGTGTTGGATCTTTTGTGCCTCAGCTTCCTAAACCTGTTGTCTGAAGAGGAGGTATCTGGTGTCAAGCACAATGGCTTATGAGTTAGCTCTAAGAAACTAGAATCCGTTTTGTGAACTGTAGCATAGTTGTGGAATTCTTGCCCTTGTTAGTGCAAGCATTTCTACTCTGCCTGACTCCAGGGTAGAAACCAACTAAAAATCTGTTAGAAAACCTCAAGTTGCGATTTATTATTATATCCCCAACATTTTCCTTTTGTGTTAGATGCCCTAAAATGGTAGATCTCTGATCTTGGGTACATTAGTATATAATTCACGTTATTGAGACATCATCTTTCACCTGAATTCATTCAATCCTGGTATGCGGTGATAAGGAATGGCCCCAGCTATTATTGTCAGTTAACAACTTGTTTCTAATTAATTACTAAGTGTCCGGCCGACTGTAAATGTAAGATTTATCCACCAACCATTGAAGGATCCCTGATGGCTACTGCGTTATGTGTTTGGCTGCTAATCACAAGGTCAGCAGTTCAAAACCACGAGCTGCTCTGCTGGAGAAAAACGGGCCTTTTTAATCTGGGAAACTCACAGGAGGAAGTTCTACCCTGTCTTATAGAGTCACTGTGAGTCAACATCGTCTCTATGGCAATGAGTTTGGTTTCAAGTTCTTACCTGTTAGTGCCAGGCACTGTCCTAGACAGCAGTTATGACTAAGACTCAGCCCTCACGAACAATGAGGGAAGAGTGTGTGTATATATGTACTTAAGTATAATTTCAGGTGTGAACATAAAAAGTAGTGTAACTGGAAACAACGGTTGCCTAATTTTGACATGGTGCTCAGGAAGGTGTTACTGGGGAGTTCCTAAATGACTTCAGTCACTGGAGCCAAATAAAAAGACCCTGATGAGGTGGGAGTGGCTGCCACCTATTCAGGGATTATTAGGAAAGCCTGTGTCACTGGAGCACAGGGAGGGGAAGCTCATAGGAGTTGAAATCGCGGAGTGAGCAAGGATTCATTAACAAGGAGCCTTACATTATAGCATCTCGAGTAAGTGCTGACTCCTGGCAACCTTTGATAGAGTAGAGCCCCCTGAGAGAGTTTCCTAGGTTGTAATCCATACAGCAGCAGATCTCCATGCCTTTTCTCCTCCAGCTAACTTGGTTTCAAACTACTGACTTCCGTTAGCAGCAGAGTGCTTAACTGCTTAACCTTTGTAACCCAGGGCTCCTTTGGGGCCCTAAAGCCCTTGATAACTTTAGTCTTATTCTCTCTGTAATGCATCATTACAGGATTTGGTGCATGCTTATAGCTGATAATATGCCTCAGGTATGGTTGTGGGGTGAATAGAGTCATGTGAAGGAAATGGAAAAGGAAGCTCAAAAGGAAGCTTTTGATGGAGCTTTAAATACGGTAGCTTGCCTTAGATCAGTTAGTTGGTGGTTAGACTGAGACCTAGAATGGTTAGTAAGTGCAAAATGTCTTAATTTGGACTGTAATTTGAAGGTGAAGCCAAATATATCTTGCTTTCACCCGTGATTGTTTTGTGTCCGCCATCAGTGTTGCCTATACATCTGGATGAACAGTGGCACCATTTACTGAAATGGAAAGACTGGGAAGGGAGCAGCTTTCTAAAATCTTCAGAGGTTCTAAATGTAACTTAGAGAGTTTGATAACTGTTAGGCAGCCAAGTATGTATGTACCATAAACAAATTTGATATCCATGACTGGAGCTCAAGGAAGAATTCTGGAATGGAATGTTAGATAGGCGACTGTAGGAGGATTCCAGTCTGAGGAGGAGCAAAGGGCGAGGCCATCTGGAACTCAAGGGAGGAACTGCTTCAAGGAAGAGGGAGTCCTCCACTAGGTAGAATGCTGCTAACTGTATAAATTAGCCATTTGGCAAAACATGAAGTGATTGAAATCTTATTAGAGTCCTTTCATTATAATAGTGGAACAAAAGTCCCGATTGCAGGAGGTCAAAGGGGAAGAGGGTCACAGTTGGTATGTGGATAGGAATTAATGGCAGAAGCGAAGCCCTGGATAAAATGGATGGACTAGGTGCTTAAGTGGAAGTATTAGCCTTGACTAGGAAGATCAGTTTTTTATTCCGCTTTTGAGCCAAGGTAGTGTATATGATCAAGGGATGCTGTAGGTCAAGGGTCCTTTAACTATGGCCTGCGGGCCACATGCGGCC